AATTACTTCATTTTGCATAGTTTTTGTGGTGCTAAATGAATGAGATGCCCCCTCCCCTCCATGTCCCTTCTGAAACCTTCTTCCTATTGTGTCAGACTTGTCACTGCAATCTCTTTTAATTGCAGGCTCCTTGGTAATTTCTCTGCCACAACATTTTCCCGAGGAGAACCACTGGTGAGTACTCAGATGAAAACAAATGCTCTGACAAGCTGGAGTTTTAATTTTTCTTTAGATTGCTTGTAGAAGAGGATCATTATTAGCAGATGATAATTAGAGAGTGGTAACACTTTAATTTGCAAGGATATATTGAAATTCATTAGCATCTGAAAGCTTTGCTGTGCTTTGTGGCAAATGAATTGGAAGTATCAGACTGGTTCCTAATAGCTGTGATAAATACCCTGACCAAACAACTGCCACCACTATTGCAACTGTTGATCTACCTGTCCTCTATTTGTACAGACTACCTTTATCAGAGAAGGCAAAGACAGGGGAAGGGTCAAATTCCTGGGGTGGGTTTTATCCCTCCTAATGTCTTGTCTAAGCTGATCATCTGAAAGGAGTTCTCTCTCCTTCAATGGAGAGAGACAAGAACTTCTATCCAGAAGGTACTTCAGAGAAATGTATTGATAGGACAAAGGATAATGGTTTTGAACTGAAAGAGGGTAGATTTAGATTGGATATAAGGAAGAAATTTTTTTTTTGTGACAAGGGTGGTGAGACACTGGAACAGGTTGCCCAGAGAAGTTGCGGATGTCCCATTATTGGAAGTGTTCAAGGCCAGGTTGGATGGGACTTTGGGCAACCTAGTCTAGTAAAGATATCCCTGCTCATGGCAGGGGGGTTGGACTAGATAATCTTTGAAGTTCACTTCCAACCCAAATCATCCTATGATTCTATGATTCTATGAAATCATCCACTCTGAACTCATGGGAGGTGAGGTGGGAACTGGAAGAAGTAATCAAAACTGTGGGGAAAAGGCTGCTGCTCATAAAGTGGAGAAAGTGAATGGTGTTAGCTGGGGTGGGGACCTCATTCTTCAGGCTATCATCTCCAGGAGGAGATCAGCACTCTCAGAACCAGATAATGGTTCATCCTACCTTGGACACATGCACTGGCATGGAACGAATGACCTTCAGGGTACCAGTTTCTGTCCATTGAGAAGAAAGCCAAAAAGTCTACTTAGACCAGATCCTTGACTGGTCCAAGAAGCTAAAGGTAGATGCAAAAATACGTGTTGACACCTCATGACCGATTCTCCAGTCTTTATGAATTGCCATTTTTCATCTAGCAGGGGTGTATTCCCTGTGTATTTTCCAGCAAGCTGCAAATATCAACTAATTAAAACATCATGAAAGTGGAGACAAGACCTTGCTTCCTTACAATTTTTGAACAAGTGCAAAGTTGTCCTTAAAATACACAAATCCTACTTTGCATGAAGCAATTATCTTCAGTCAAAAAAAAAAAAAAAAAAAAAGCTTTAGGCTTAAAAAGTAGACTCCCATGAAGAGTGGTGATTCTTGAAGAACTGAACTTTCCAAGTTCTTCCCTGGCTAGCTGATTTCTCTATAGCTACAGAATCGATTTCTAATTTCCTCTGACCCTTCACTTATGAGTGTTTATTCCCCTGCCAAGACAAGGAAGCAGAGGGTTCTGTTTCCTGCAACCTGAGGACTACTGGTTACCTGTACAACAAATCATTTTTATTTTGAACTATTATGAAATACAATCACATGAAGGAAGAGCATTTGCTGGATTTTTCTGCTAGGATGAACTGCTGTGAAGGTATAAACAACGCTGACATTACATTGTCGGTGTGAGTTTTCACTGTTAATCATTTATTGAGGTGAATGGGAAGTGAGTCACACCTACCAAAGACATTGTCTCAGCAGACTTTGCAAACTCAGGCTAGAACCAGATCAGGGAACACCATTTAGGAACTTTCCATTGGCAGTGTGGGCTTTCTGGATTATTATTTTCTTGTTGCCATTTTGCTTCGTGTCATTTCCTCTTTCACCCTCAATTTACTTCTATTTTGTGAAATTTCAGAGCTGTAAGGAATGAATGCATGCATTTTGCCGTTATATGATTGAGGTGGAAGAACGGCCTCCCGAGAGCTTGAATTGCCAAGAAGAAGGATTTCAGTGCTGAAAGCTTTGAACTCCAGAGCTCTTTTTCCCATAGCAAAGCAGAAACATAAGTCATCTAAACCTTGCAACATCCACCCATGTAGGGAACTGAATAATATTCCTCTCATCTTGTACAAGGGAGAATGGAAGTACAACAAAAGTTGTGGGTTGTGGGGGTTTTTTTTGCACTGGTTGAACATCAAAGTGGTGCAGAAAATTGGATTACAGATTTCTGGATTCCCTGATCTCATGACTCATCTGCTGGACTGCCTGAATCTCTCTGCCCAAGTCACTTAATTTTCTTTTCCTTCAGCCCTCTCATTTCAGTGAGATAATTTCTACACTGCAACCTGACCACAGGTAGCCGTTCCCTTTCTATATCTATGCCTCTGGCAATACTTTATCCCGATATACTGGTCACCTCACGGGTCTCTGGAGTGCTTGGAAACCATGCTGGGCCCTTTGAATATTACAAGGGTAGCAGTTTGGCTTGCAGTGCTTTTTGGCAAAAAACAGGTCTCCCAAGGTATATTTTTCTGCATCCTGCCAGGAAACAGCTAGCTGGCATGTAAAAAAAAAAAAAAATAAATCACAAGAGCTGACACAAAAGGTCACTAAATCAGTTTGGGTTTCTTGGATCCAGTAACAATAATGTCATCTCTATGTCGAGAAAATAACTTCCTGAGAAGTCTAGCCAAGAAGAGAAACAACAGCTCAGCTGTCTTCATCTTGCCTACTCTTTGTGAAATAACATGTTAAAGGATCCCCAGGTTTTGCTGAGAGGTGGCTTTACAAAGAAGTTGAGATAGGCTTGGAAATTGCTGTGGTGAGTAAGGGGAGAGCTACCACTCCCAAATGCAAGGAAAAAGGAAACCTGCAGCACAGTGATGGTGAAGCCAAGAACCTATAAATAACTCCTCGCAATCCTAACAGCTGGGCAAGAAGACATACAACAGGCAAAAATGCCACATTTCTAAAAGCAAAAAAAAAGGGCGTCCTTCTCGCCCCTCTTCACAAACACTGCAGAAAGTGCGTATACCAACAGGATCTTCCACCTCATCTCTATATCCTCCATGAGTTTTTTTCCGAGGAGCTGTGGACAGCTGGGAGGAGCGACATCCTCCATATGCAGAGCTTCTTACCTTGAGACTGCCAGACTGAAGTCTTGGCTACACACAGGACTGCATATGTTTGGCTAAACCTGTTTTGAACAATTTAGTTCACAGTCATGCAGGCTGTGTGATGCTTTTATTCTGATTTGACTGTGCTTTTATCACATTTAAGTAAGCTAATCAGGAACCAGGTAAAATCACACTGAATTAGATCATTCCCATATCGAAATTAGTATCCACCCCCCTGTAGGATTTAAGCTGGACGCCATGATATATAACGTCAATGTATAAACCTCAATTTACGTATCTCTGAGCTGTATGCTGGTCTTGTTGTTATTTTATATATATAGCAATGCTTAAAGAGCTTTTAAATTTTTTTTTAATGCCAAGAAAGCCTCAGTGAACTGAACACAAATGAACCCAGTCCAGATTGGGAAGGACCAAACGCTGTTATTTGGTAAGGAGGAGTAGTAGCTAAGTGCGTACAAAATTGACAGGTGGATTTATTCTATTGCCCTTTGGACATGTGCCCATCACTACACCCCTCTGGTGCGGCACTCCTCCCAGCCACCTTGATAAGAAGAACCAGGACTGGCTGAGGGTGAGACATACCCACTTATTTCCAGAGAAAAGCCCTTAGGATGTGTTTGTGGGTTGACTGGGGAAAGCTTGCAAAATCCGAGGGCATTTTCTGAATTGGAAAGGAGAGCAGTGTCCAGCATGACTAAACAAGCCCCTTTCAAAAAAACCCAAACCCCTTTAAAAAAGTCTGTGGAGAAGAAGCAGTCTCACCCCTGGGATTTGTAAGGGTAGCATCAGTGCCTTTGCCTCCATCTCCGCAGCGGGTATCGTCGAACGGGAGGCACTGATCCCCAGTTCCAGCCAAGACCTCTGAATTCTTCACAATGTCTTTCACTGATGTGGTTGACTTGATTTTATAGATACGTCGGCTGTTGGTGTCGGAGAGGTAGATGGAGCCGGTGATTGGATCTGTGGTCAAGTAATACTTATGAGCTGGGCTGTGGCTGAAAAACAAGGGTATGAAGTTATTATTTTTTGGATGATTTGTTTCCTTCAGTCAACAGGCAATGCAAGCACTTTAGAGAATAAAAATGCGCAAGGCAGACAGACTGGGAAAGTGAAGCAGTGCTGTATTTGACAATGTTAGTACAGGGTGTGTTACAGCACGGGATGCTGAGCTACATCTGTTACCAGTCGCTGTGCTGGGGGTGCTCTCTGGCATGGAGGGCAGCTACAAAAGGAAAAGACTCACTGGCCTGAGCCAAAATCATGCCAGGAACTACTATAGGTTGAGTCCCAGTGCCTGAGTTTGCTTAATTAATATAAACATTGTCCTGAAACTGGTGTTAGTGCAGTGCCAGAAAGTGAAGGGAAAGCACAGTACACTAGGGGCAGAAAACAAAAAAAACACCCTAAAAAAATAAATAAATCTGCCCTCCCAAGAAAGACCCCAATACAAAAAGCCAAAAGCAGACTCCCAAGCATAAAGCACTTGAAGATACACTCTTCAAGATCACTGTGTCAAGGCTTATCTGGTGCTCATGCTGACTCCAGCAAAGACTCTAGAGTCCTGTCCTGCCCTCGTGGAGATTAGGGGAAGTCCTGCCACTGAATTCAGCTGGACCTCAGGAAGAGAGAAACACAATGGTCCTTGGAGTGCTGCATTTTGCCCTAAGTAAAGCACGAACTAGGAGGAGGGCTGAGGAACCTGAACATCAGTCCCCTGTTAAATACCATTCACTCACTGCTTCCTTGCAAACAAGAAAGGCTGGCTGAGAAAGCAGGGTGAGTGGACAGAAAGATAATGTTTTTACCTCCATGAGTACAACACTAAATAAGCCCAAGACTGGAGAAATGAATAAACTAGCATCCACTTTTTGGAAAGAATTCAATGGGACTGGCCAGAAACAACAACCAGATGAGTTTAGACACAATTTAAAAAAATTGTCTTTCAAGGATTCTATCTATAGTTTAAGATAGATTCTAAACTTATTAACTTCTTCTATTAGAATTAAGTGTTTACTACCAGTGTGTATTGAGCTGCATCTCTTCTAAGCCTGAAACCAACAGATTAACCCTGTAGCATCTGCTGCCTGAACACAAGTCTCCTTCCTTCTAAAAAAGGCGAAGCAGTAATCAGAACAAGTACAAAAAAGTCTCTACTTTTCTCCAGAACACCTTCAAGCTGTACAAACTCATCAGGTCCCAAGAATTCATAATAAATGGATAGGCCAGAGCTCACAATTTTGCACTTAGTGGCATTGTTCTAGGAGAAGCTGGTTAGAAACCTGAGTGTCGATCACAGTTGACTCTATCCCTCATGATAAGAAATTTCCTCTCTCCTTCAACCTTTAGGTTAGGAAAATTAACCCCTCTTCAGACACATAAAACCTACCAAATTATTCTCTGTTTTAAAAAGCCGTAAGTTGGTTCTTTATTCAAATTACTTAATACTTTTTGGGAAAAAAAAAGCGCCTTTCTGATTTATTCTGGAATATCCCTTGTGATTTATCCTATTAAAGTCTGAACAGATTTAATCTCCACAAATGACACTGATTCTTGCTAAAGAAAATGCTCTGACCTTCAAGACAGCTCCAGCCTGACAGTTCAGTCTCCATCTGTATTCCTTTCCAATGACAGCAGGCTGGTAGGGTATTATTTCATTTACCTGCATGTCACTCACACTAAGCAAGTGGCTTCAACCCTGGTGGAAGAAGTTCCCTGTGGGAATCCATCATCCATTTTGATCAGGGCCTTGCATTTTCCTCTGACTGTCCTAACAAAGCCCAGCTGAATGTCAGTCAGCTTTTGAGCTGTTCATAATCTTTGTTTTGCACGAGAGGTGGACAAGAGGAGGACATTTTTACTGGCACTTTGCAATTCTTTAGCATCTCTGCCTGGAAAGCACAGATAGCTTTCACCAAGTCTTACAGCAGGCCGTTTGCAGACGGGCAAAGGAAAATGACTTTCCCAAAGGTGGAGAAAAATGGTGGCAGAACTGGAAGTTCCTGCTCCCCTATCCCAGCACTATCATTGTAATTTGTTTTTGGATTTCACAGCCTCACTCTGGTGGATTTTATTGTTGATTACAACCTCCTGTGGAAGAGAGAGATCTTAAAACTATTTTCCAATCCCAGCTCCTGTGTAGAATGGACACTGAAACAAATGCTGGTTACTTCTAACCACAGAGCAATGAACCAAGTAAAAGCAAAACATTCATCCAGCAGAAAAGCCGAATGGTACTTCCCACCTAAATTTACCAAGTAAAAAATTGTCATATTAAGGTAATACTTTGAGTAGCTGCTGGTAACCCAAGTTCAGTTTCATTAATGAGGTCCTGAATATGGATGCTGCAAAAAAGTTGAGGTGAGTTCAAAGTTGAAACTCATTAAAAAATTAGCTCTGACTGATTAAACTTTTAATCCTCTGCATAGCTGGATGCCACAGAGGCGCACACACACCTTTACTAGCAAATGTGCTTTGGAAGAGGTAGAGGTAGAAACTTACGTTGGTTAAACTACCCCTGGGACAGTAATAATCTTGGGTTACCTGGGTCTGGGTTTCACCTGGTGAGCTGAAACTCCCGAGACATACAACTGCCTTTCTGAATCTAATGTTATTAATGGTATGGGCACCCCCAACACAAACTACATCTTTTCTGCTGCGTGGCTCTGTGTGAGCGATATGAAGTGCTGGTTCATTTTTATCGGCTAGACTTCTTATTTTTGCAAGCATGGCTCATCGTGGTCTCCTACAGCCCGTTCCATGCATAGGGCTTTTGTGAGTGGAAAGCCCCTTGGAGTGGCTTAGGCAGTGGAGTACTTAACCTGGGATGCTTTGGAGCAGGGAAGGTAAAATACAAACTGTTCAAAATGGTCAAGCCAGAATTTACCCCCCTGGCCTCTGCTGCCATATGGGGAAGACGTCACGCTCTGCGTGAATGTTGCACAAATTGCATAGCATTATACACTGGCGCTTGTTTTTAACGCTTTGAGATCCTGCAGGATTACAGATGCTAAATAAACATATGTCAGTAATGTAAAAGTTCCCAAACTGCTTCCCTTCGTCTGTGATAATGCATGAGCACTGGAGCCGGGAACACCGAGGCTTTGCTTTTTATTTAAAGCGACAATCAATAGGCAAATCCAACTGGTAAATTGGACTGAACTGAACAACAACTGAAATAAATCTGCTTTGGACAAAGCAGAGAAGATTATTTTTTTTTTTATTTCATCCTCTCTCATTGCTCAGTTAGATAACGGACCAAAAGAAAAGACAGGACTTTTTACTACTCAGAAGACTTAATCAGTTACAGTATTTGTAGTCTTAGAATATTTATCCCCCATATTGACACTGCAACCACTAGAAAAGGACTGTGGATGAAGAGCTGATTTCTCATTCAGATTGTTCCTTTAGTTATTAAGTTTTTTTAGAAGAAACCCTGGGCATTGCATTGATATTTTAAGCCCCTGAAGCAACAAACCAAAGTTGCAGGGATGGGGTGGGCTGATCCCTAGCCAAGCACAGACACTTTAGTGGGCATTGGTGGAGGTGATGGTGTAGTCACTAGGAATGAGGATGGTTTCACAAGCAGAAGTTCTGCAGACCAAAGGGAAATACTTCCTCGTATGCTTGTGATACAGTGATGAACTGGGAAAGCACAAGAAAATCTTCCAAGTCCACCATGACCCCAGTTGTTTGGGGTTGCATATAGGCTGTCCCATACATCTGTCTGGTCCCTTTCCTATTTTCATTCTCATTATTTGGACAGGATAGTGCCAGCACCCTTTGGGGAGCTCTGCAGATATATTAAGTGATTCAAACTCCATTTTAAAGTGCTTATGCTTTACGTGACTCCTTACACACAGGAAGGAAAGTGATAAAAAGTTGGGTGAATAGGCAGACAGATGGCATTCACATGGATTGCGCCTGTAGCACTATAACAGAGGTACAGACTTTAAGCAAAGGTTGAGATTGTCCCCTTGGGCCCAGAACCCCCGTTTTGGAGGAATCTGAGGAAGGAACCTCCTCCTCCAGAGTGGGAAGCCAGTCCCTAAGGAATAACGATGAGGAAATGGAGATGGTCCTTGGTTTCAGCAGGTTACCTATCATGCGTTAGCACAGCAGAGTGCACCTTGTCATCGGCTTCTGTTCAAAGGCAGGGGATTCATCTCACCAAGCTTTAGACGGTTACATCTGAACCGCCTGCCTTAACTCCCTTTATAGGCAGTGGAGAGAAATAGCATCTTTTGGGGTGTGATTTGCCTGACTTATTTTCAATGTTTATCTTACAAGACGAACTGCATCCTAGTTTCACAAATGCAAGGGCATCTACCACCCCCTCTAAAGGACAACTGCTGCTGATGGTAACGGTACGGCTCTGGCTCCCACTGTGATCAACAGACAGGAGCAGTCGCAACACCAAAGTTACTTACCCATAACAGATCTGAATAAACCCCTGGGGCTTCTTTGGATCTGATGTCTCCGTTTAAGGACATGAAACCACCTCTGTAAAACTTTCTGTGCTAGCTGCCCTCTTCCCCTCTCAGCCTTGCTGGCCACAGGCATTTGCCGGTGACTAAAGAACTACCAAATTCCTGCAGCCAAGCGTTTTTTGTTCGTCGGGGCTGTGTTTCCATGGCTCCATGCTAAGCACCCTGCAGCTCACAAACAGAGGATTTTATTATAGCTTGTGTGAGGTACTGGTCTTTTTTTTCCCTGGGTGACATTCAATAGATTAATACATAAGGAGGCCACACAGTGCAGTGAGCTGAATTTACACTTGGCCTTTTAGTGTTTTCAGTTTGTGTGCGATGCCCAAAGCTCTCCTAGTGTCACAGGCTGGATAATAAAACTTCATAGCAATGCCATAAGCCAACCCAGGGACTGCAACGGACTTTTGATCTGATCCTAGGGCAGTTTTCTGAGATAGATACCTCTCTTTGCCACTAATTGTAGAGTTCTCTCTCCCAGGTATGAATGAGAACAAGAGAGAAATAATGTATTTAAGTGTGGCAACTTTTTGCATATTTGCAAGACAGAAATACCTCACTGCCCTCCATGTTCCTGCAGAGAAAAGATAATGATAATTAACTGCAGATTGTTATTGCCATGCTTGGAAAAAGTCATTAGCCCACCAAGACAGATCCATACACAGAGATACTGGAGTAAGTTCCTATTAATCTATTACTGATTAACAGATGGGTGTAAACTGGGGAGGCATCACAATTCAGTGATGCTCTTTGGCTTAGCTAACATCCCCCATGTTGACACACAGCCATTTTGGCTGTTGCAGCCTTAGACCTTGGCTACCTACGCTGTGCTGTAGAGTCAAGACTTAGTTGGTAGCTCCAGAACCTCTGGATCAAGCTCACCACAGGCTACGTAGTGGGGAGGAATCCTTTCCCCTGAAGTGAGGAAGGTTTTGCATATGGGTTGCAGCTTTTCCAAATCACTAAGATTCATCCCTGTGTTGACTGTCAACAGTGTCAAGCTTAGGACCTTCTGGAACATAAAGCACTGGTGCTTTAGCTAAGACTACACCCACTCATCTCCCTGTGGCTCAGGAACGAAGAGGCTTCCTAAGAAGAAGTATTATGGCAAATGACACAGAACAGCTGCTAACTCACGTGGATGACTCCCTTAATGTAGTCACAGACGGGAATAGTTGATCTGGAGCTCCTCACCTCCTTCCTCCCTCACTGGTCCCCTTTGAACTGCACTGAAGCAGGCATGCCTTGGCTTGCTTTCATTTCATTTCTTAGATTTTAGGAACTGCGTAAAGGCTGAAGCCCTGCCAACTTTGTAAGGCTCTGGTGGCATCTGCAGCATTTGTGGCCAGTCCATATATCTTCACTCAGTTATTGCCTTCATATATAAAAACTCATCTTGTAACAGGTATTCAGCTGCTGCCCTTCGCTGTCAAAGCAGGTGCACTTTAGTGGCTGTGTATTTCTAGGGCATTAAGGATACAACCTGGCTATTCCAAAGAGAAATGAGTTTTTCTATTGCCTTCAAATGATGTGAAAGAGGAGCTCGGGGGCTGGAACTCAGCCTGATGAAGACAGTCAGTGCAGAGGTCTTGTGTACCAACCCCCCAGCCCTGCTGGGCCAGTCCATTATGCCGTGGAAGCCCAGCCCTTCATTAATGTTCTGGCAATAACACAAAAAAACAGTTTCTACTCCATTGCATTTCCAGGCATGCAGATAAAATGAAAATTTCTAGGTTTGTGAAGCCTCTATGAAGTAAAAAACCCAGTAAATAAAAAGCATGTAGCAAGAAAAATCCCCAATCCCAAATGCAAAAAGAAAACCAAAGAAAAAAAAGAAAAGTCCCAACTCCATAGTCTAAGCGGCTAATTTAGAAAGCAACCGGGGAGAAGGATGGGGAACTTGTCAGCGCCAGAGAAGTCCTTGCAAACACAGACAGTGACAGGAGGTTGACATCTTCCAGAATGCAACTGATTGGATCAAACTCACTGAAACTCCAGTGAACCCAAATGACAAATATTCTTAGTGACAAAGCTCCAATTTAGGAGTCTCTCCTTCATCTTGTTTTCTTGTCATTACTTTTTCTCTTTTTTATTGCATTTCCTGGCTAAGGTTCTGAGTCGCCACTGCCTCCTCTCTGAGCCTGACATACTTTCACATAATGTGAAGGCTCTCTATGAAGAGCTCAGACTGGCAAAGAGTTACAAAAACTTACGGGGTGATGCTGGGGTACCTCTGGCCCTTCATCACGCCTGTTACACTCCCCAAAACTCAGAAGCAAGACATTTCACCATGTGAGAATTATTTTCCCGTCATAGATATTCCAGTATCCCAATAGTTTCTTGGTTAATTCCCACCCATTTTTCCTTCCACCCTCCTCCTCTTGTTACCCTGCCTCTTGTGTCTCTACTTCCCCTGCCTACAGCTGTAACAGCTCATGCAGAAGTCTGCGCGACTCCGCTCTGTGATTAATGGCTCCCAGTTCTGATGACTGATTGCCTACGCCAGTTTTAATCACGCCAGCTTCATTTGCTATTGAATCATCTGGAAATGGCACTTGTGGCTCACTGTGTAACAACATGCAACAAGACAGGGAGCGGCATAAGAATTCTCCACTGGTTGGCTTACCTATGTCTGAAATCTTTATTTCTGACAGAAGACAGGAAAGCAGGGAATAGAAGAAAGAATGAGGTGTTAGAAGCTCAGTTCGATGCATTATTAGCAGATTGAAAACTTGACAGTAACTGTATCATACAATGCAATAATAAATAAAGACTTAGCTGGAATGACACTGATATATTTTATATTGGATATTACTTGGCAGCAAGCTCACTTATGTACCGCTGCATATCACAAAGGAAGTGTGATCTCACCTGCATGGAGTTATTCACTTATGTAAGATAGGACCAGGCAGACTTTATCATTCAGAGCAGTACTGAGCTAAATATATGTAGACGCAGGTATCTTTACAGGTTTTTTCACTCTCAGCCAAAGCAATACCTTGTGATTTACAAAGGTAACTGAGCAGTTGCACCGTTACGGGTGGCAGTTCACTGCCGTAACCTCGTGAACTCTCGAGCCCAGAGGACTGAAATTATGCCGAGCTGGATGTTCTTCATGGGTCTAGTTAACATACCCGGCTGCAGTTATCTGCGACCCACAATGCATTTGCTTTTCTCTCCGCAACAGAACGCTACACTCAAAAGATGCCCCCCGCCCCCCGCCAAGCAAAACCCAAAAGCCAAATAGTGAGGGTGTTAATCTCCAAGGAGATGCTGATTTGAGAAGACACAAGCAAACTCCATTTAGTCCAAAAGCAATGGCTTTCCTCCATAGCTTTTAGTCAGCCTGCATCTGAACCCACTTACTTTATAGCACACCAGAGTGAAGAAATGTTTATTAGATCCAGCAACCTAAGTGTTTGCACAGATGAAGCAGCAATCGTTCCAGCAGATTTAACTTTGGAGTAAATTTAACTCTGTGGCTCCACACAAAAGGCAGCAAGGCCACTCTGTCAAGGCTTCCAATTTTCTCTTTTCCAATCAGGAAATACTCTGCAAAACCTCCGCTGGGTCTGGTATTTCCACTGACAATGAAACAGGGATCGGGTTTTCAAAATTGTACTTCTGGGAATGAGATATTAATCCCACTCCGTTGCAGTGGGATTTGGGCCCCAAATCACCTAGGCTCTTCTGGAAATCTCACCTTTGGCTCTTCAGATAACTTTCTGGCACTGGAAGAATATTACATTCTTTAATGTAGACCAGGTCTGAAGATTTATCCCAGCTTCCCACCTTACAAACATGAGAGAGATTATGTTCTCATATATCACGTAACAGAATAGCAAGAATCAGGTTCTTGCTTATTTACTCAAAAGGTGCCCCAGCCCTCGGGGATGTGACTGTAAACATCTCATTGTGGGCTTCCTAATTCAACGATTCCTCCCAATTTCCTTGTCGCCCTGCAAGCACACCGAGACAGCTATTCTTTAAGTGCCAGCCTTGCGAAGGCTGGCTGTATTTTTTTCCTCAAACACCATGAACTACGACGATGGTTCTGCACGACAAGACCTTCAGCAAGGTCTAAGGACTGTGGCATGTTTGCAAATGAGGGGCTGATGGGATCTTGCACCAGATTTTGCGGCAGATCAGCTCTTTCATTTTCACCCGTGGCCTTGTGGAGCAAATGGGAATGCAAAGCAATGCTGTATGGGGGACCCTGCTCTCCACTAAGCTGTCTGGTAAGCTTCCACATGGCAGTCCTTGCAGAAACGGGACCTTACTTTTGTTCTCAGCAGCCAGGACATTAAAACTGAGTAGAGCAAGGAAGATTTACTTTCTGGAAGATTCTCACTTTCAGGCCAGATCTTGAGAGGCAAATGGGAATGTGAACCTTCCCACCATGCTAACCTCATATTGACCTCTCAGATCCTTCAAGCAGAGAAGCCTCATTCACAAACACTGGTTCAACTCGATTGACTTTCCTGGAGTGAGTCTTGTCTGGTCACAGAGTTCAGAATGAGGCCCTGGTGCTTTGAAGTGGGTAATTGTATTTGTTGTGGAAATTTTAGATAGGAGAAATATCTCCAGTGAGGTCAATTTGAAATTTTGATTCAGTCACAATCTATTCCACTTCCTCAGAACTTGTGACAAATTGATACTTTTCGCACTCCTCCCTTGTTTTTAATTGATATTCCTTCCCCATCCTCCCTATTTCTCCTAATATATAATTTTCTTCCCTTTGTTATTTGGGGTAAACGGAAACACCTCACTTACTTTGAGATGATCCATCTGTATGTTCACCCTGACACTGCTGTTCAGTTGGGAACCGAGGGGAGCTGATATGGGTTTTCCCCCCCCCAAAAAAAACAACTAGAAAAACCCAGTCTGTGACTCCCTAAGTCATCATTCTATCTTAATTCTGAATGATGATCTATCCTGATTAACCTCTACATATCACCATCAGTGCTGTGTCCTTCCAAGTTCAGGTTCTCTCAGAAGCTGATTGTTAACTCTGAGAATTCCCACTGATCTCTAACTACACCGAAAGGGAAACATCAACACAGTTTGATTTAACAGCACAGAAATGTGTCAATATTTTTGGTGTGATTCAACTCTGGAAGAACTTGTGAGGCTTGTGTTTCTCTGGTGTAAATCAAAGTCAGCAGAGTTGCAGAAGAGGCAAATCTGGACAGCTTTTTTTCTGTTTTTCTGTAATTTTTTTTAAGAGTTTTGCTCATTTTCCTTTTGGGTACCTAACATTTCTGCAGAACTTAAGGGTATAGTTATAATGGCCACATTCAGCATGGTGTACCTCAGCTCCAGTATGTTGGTGACGTTGCCAGAGGGAAAGATCCTTCGGATGTAGTTGAAATCTCCAACATAAAGACTTCCATCAGACCCACATGTCAGGGCAACGGGAGCCAGGAGTTTGTTCCCATCTGCAAGACCATTGCAGCTTGGACAAGAAATGCTGCGTCTGCGGCCGTTGCCCATAATGCTTCCGATTACAGGCGGCTGCTGGGAAATAAACTGGTTTTCCCCATTTCCTTTATGCAAGATGCCTAGAGGGAGAAAACAGTAATAAGGAAATTAAAGAGAAACAGGGAAACTGAGACCAAAGGGAGCACAAACTGGCAAGGATGGATGGCAACTGGGGAATTTGTCAAGTGGCGAGGACATGGTTTAGTGGTGGACTTGGCAGTGTTAGGTTTATGGTTGGACTTGAGGAACTGAAAGATCTTCTCCAACCTAAATGATTCCATGATTCTAAGGAGATTTTGTGATGGTTTCAAATGAGGAGCCCCTTATCTGAAGTAAGTATTTTTTATAGACCCATTACATTTCCTGCAGAACAAATGGTGAGAGAACAAGACTGTCTCTACCTTTGAATGAAATAATCTTTTCAGCATCTCATGAATTTTCACCTGCCTTTTCTGTCCCTCCTTGCCCTGTAATTTGCAGCCTACCAGGTAAAAAAAAAAAATTACATAGCTCGTGGAAAGATAAGGGACAGGAAGACCATGGTGCATTCTCTAGAGAAGTGTTTCATCTGCAAAGCTTTAGAGGAGCTCTACTTCTTTCTATCTATCTATCTATCTATCTATCTATCTATCTATCTATCTATCTATCTATCTAAGTATATATACCTATATACCCTATATGTGTAGTGTTCCCAGCAGTGGTGTGGGCTGTATTAGATGTTTGCTCCCATCCCACTGCTATCACCCAGAAGGACACAGGGCTTCCATCTTTTGAACATGTTCTGATCAGCTTTCAAGCCTCCCTGCTGCAGTCCTGAGCAACCTTCGAGGACTCTTGCACCTTCCATTCTCCCTTATGACCCACGAAGCCTCTGATCTCTGCAAGTACACTTGCACATTGGAGGATGTGTCTGGGTGGGCTTATGGTCAGTGGTAGGTCCAATCTGAATAGATTCCCTTTTGTTATTTTAGTAATATTTTCCTTGTTAATCCCCTTCTTTTAAGACACTATTAAGTCAGACATGCTGACATTCAACTACTTCTTTTGGATTTATACACACCATATTGCTTCTAAATGTAGGTTACTAGAAATAACTTGTTAGTAAAATACATGAGAGGGTACATGTGTTAGTCAGGTTTCTTTCCTTTCCTTTTCTGGAATTTTTAATGACAAGAAGCAACTGGGCCTTGCAACACTGCATTATTCCTCTGTTATGTGTTACAGACAACCTACCACTTTGTATGTTGAGGGCATGATGTTTGTCCAGGGACCATCCTCCAAGTTTGGAAGCATCAATTTCATAACCCTGAAGCACAGCTGTCCTCTTCTCCCACAGGATCAAGTCAGGACAAGATTCATACTCATAACCTACCGAAACTATGAAAAAGAGAGAAACAAAAGACACCCCCCCCCCAGATTAGCAACCCAGAAATGCACAGTCAGCACACAAAGAGTTTCAACTGAGCAGGGGTACGAACATTTCTATAGGCAAGTGCCCATTTAAAATGTCATCATCATAATGCAGAGTCCTAATATTTTTCTCTTTAAAGGCCATCCTGCATTTAAAAAGGTCAACGGAGTTGTAGATGTTACACATGTGCTAAATATTTAAAAAGCACTGTTTTAAAGACATATTTTAAAACAATGGGTATTCGAGAGTGTAAACCACTGCTGGGCTCCTAAATGGGAGCATTTTACTCCTATCTACTAGCTTTGATCAAAGACTGCATGTCAGGAACTTGCTAGAAATCATGGCCCTTCTTGGAAAGTAAAGACTTATACAAATGAAGGATAGGGCAGCAGGTCTCTCAGAGACAGCAGTCTTAGACCAGGTTGACTTGTGGTCATTGTTAATGTCAAAAGGGTTTGCTTGCCATAATGTCTAATCAGAGCTTCCAGGAGTAACTCTACTGAACACACTGGAGTTGCTTAAGAGTAAAATGATGTCAGTAGAAGGAAAAACATGTTTTTGTCAGAATAATGACTCCTTTATGATTTTCTCCGTAGAAGCAAGACCAGTTTCATTGGTCTACTTTTCTTCTGCCCTACCAGATCCTTTCAGCGCTAACAGCTGAAGCAGAGCAGACCTGCAAGTTCTACACAAATGAAAAGCAATTACATAGCTCATTTTTTTTTTACTAGATAAAAATAAAGGTCTGATCTTACAAGTTTCCCAGCATCCTTACAAATGCTGAGCACTGAGTGAACTCAAGATCTCCCATCAAATATAGCCTTTTGCAGAATCAGACAGTATCAGAGGAAGATGTAATTTAAGAAATGAAGGCTTGATATTTTCCACTGTTCTAGAGGTGGGAATCATTGAAAGCCTGAATACTGATGTTCTCACACTGCTCGCGTACTCTGGGGCTGCAGAGCTGCATCATGGAGCAATCCAGGACCCACTGCTGATCTAAAGCATCTTAAAGATGTAAACATAGTCTTTCAGGATATGCTGCCAGGACATGTTTCTCAGTGTGGACTCCTGGGTAAGGCTCCGCAGGTTGTATCACCCAGTCTGCTCAAAACAGCTGAGCCTGAGTGAGAGGAAGGCACCCATTTGTCCTTCTAGAAACCACGGCACCCTACAGGTCTTCTAAAAAGACTTCAGTTGGGCTATGAGGCATCATTGAACCACCCTTCTGTCAACAAGAGCTCTATTTGCTAATTTGGGATCTCTCCCATTTTGCTGGTATCATTTCCCTTGAGCCTGAAAGGTCTAGACTCCATCAAAGACCTGTAACTGCATGTCCTCGGGTTGTTGATCAGATGGGAAGCAATCACTGCAGAGCTGCATCATCTCCGCTCACTATACACTCAAAGTACCCCCTTCCCTCCAGCACCATCACACAGGGCTCGCTGGGTGAGGTCTGAGATGGCAGCGGGAGGAGGAATGAAGTGGTGTCTCTGCATACATCCACAGCACAGCTTCCTGCCCCAACAAGGACTTCAGCTTCTGCCCCTGGAGAGTGGGTGCTTGGTGCTGGGGATGTGGCACGCTGAGTATGCAGAGCCTTCCTATTCTCTGCCTTGCAGCCTCTGACATCGTTTGCAGATGTAAAGGAAGGCACAAGGTACAAGAGAGAAGACCATCATGCCCCAGTTTGGGATGGCATTCTTGAGTGGGTAACGAAGGGGAAACTAAAATTAAAGTGATCCTGAAGGCCAGGCACAAGGAGGAGTGGGGATCAGGGTTCAGTTCTAGGCATTTCTTTCAAAGCAGTGCTGACAGCTTTTGGCTATAGGTGAGAGGCAGCCAAACGCCTCTAGTCCCAGGTCATCCCTTCTGTGTGAATATGATGGTAGCAGCTCAGGATGTACGTGCTGGGCCATGAGCCAGAGAACAGATAAGTATTCATCTGCTGGGGAAATGTGTGCCGTCTGAACAGCTGGGCCCAATCCTCTCCAAGGAAACAGCAGTGTCCCAGCAGGGACCATTTTATGTGTTGGCAGTTGGACCGTACCGATCTAGGACAAGGTCTGTGTATTGCCACTTAGCTGCTTCTAAAAAGAGACGCAAGCCCTGGGATCACTTACCGAAGGCTTCTGAGAGCCCATACACCTTCTGGCTGTAGACGTCTGTCTTATCCCAGATGAAATAATAGGACAGATCTGGAGCAGCTGCAAACCACTTTCTGAAGAGGCGTCCCTCGACAGCCACCATGAGGTGGACTTTCATGAGGTTGAAGGGGATGGTGGGGTGGGTCATGCTGATCCTCAGGACTGATTTGTAGCCAGCTGTGCGACTGCTCAGGTAACTCACTTTTATTTTACTACCGGAAACATTAATCTCCTCCTGTAGAGCCTGTGGAAAAGCAATCCAGGAGGTGTTAAATCAGCAGCGAGCCGACAGGAAAAGGCAGTGAAGCTGTAATTTATCAAACACACCTTTATAAAAGCTCTGTCTAAAAAAGCACACCTAGTAGGCATCGAGTATGAAATCATATGTAATTGATAGGGTTAGTTGTTGTCCTGGTTTCAGCAGGGATAGAGTTCATTTTCTTCCTAGCAGCTGGTGCAGTGCTGTGTTTTGGATTTAGGATGAGAATAATGTGGATAACAAACTGATATTTTAGTTGTTGCCAAGCAGTCAAGGACTTTTCAGCTTCTCATACTGCCCTGCCAACAAGGTGGTGGGGGGGTGCCCAACAAGCTGGGAGGGGACACAGCCAGGACAGCTGACCCAAACTGCCCAACACGATATTCCATACCATATGATGTCAGGCTCAGTGCATAACTGGGGGTTGGCCTGGTGGTGGCACAGCTTGGGAACTAGCTGAGCATCGGCTTCAGGTGGTGAAGAAATTGTGCTCTGCATCACTTGTTTTGTATATATTATTGTTGTTGTTCTTGTTGTTATTATTATTATTATTATTATCCTTTTCTGTCCTATTAAACTGTCTTTATCTCAACCCACGAGTTTTACTTTCTTTTTTTCCTTTTTGATTCTCTCCCCCATCCCACTGGGGTGGGGGTAAATGAATGTCTCTGGTTGTTCTAGCTGCCAGCCAGGTTAAACCATGACTGTTGTGGAAGCCAAGGAATGCCCCTCTTTCCATCTCTGTTACATGGGAGAACAGGAGGCCAAAGTATCTGTGTTCACAATGGAACTCACTGGTAAAAGGAGTCTCAGGACTCATGGCGAAAGGAGCCTGGGGTCTGAGATTATCCCAGCTCATCAGTTTAGCTTCCATTTTCTGTGTTCTATTTTGTTAGGTTTCTTTGGCTCCTAATTTTTGTCTCCTGGCTTCTTTTTCCCAGTAAAATATCAAGCCCTACTTGGCCTGTACCCTTATGGAAGTTCCCCGGCCCCGATTGTAACCTGCCATTCTCTCCGTGCCATTAATGAATCCTCCTTCCACTCTCCCTCCCCTGACTTACCCATCTCTCCTTCTTTGAAACTGCTCCTCTCCTAGCTCACCCCTGATCCTCTTTGCCTGATCTACCTCTAGCCTTTTTTTTTCCTGTGTCCTGGTCCTTATGTTCTGACCTCACATTTGTTCCTACTTACCCTGGTCATTGCTTAAAATTCCCTCCCCTCTTACCTGTGTGATGAAACTCTTGGCCTGACCTATCACCATCAACCCCTTTCTCTTCCCTTGCATCCTTCGTTCCCTTCCTTTTCCCAATTCCTCTCTAGTCTAGGTGAGTTGCTTCATTTTCTCCTCCAGCCACGCAGTGCAGGTATTTCTGACTGACTGGGACAGTTATCTCACAGGTCTCAATTCCAGTACAATATTTCACAAAAGACTGGAGAAACAGCAGGGAAAGTTTTGTCTGCCCCTCTTCTGCTTTGAGAATAGAGAAGACTCAGTAAAAATGGAATTTTCATCTAATTTACCTGCTAAAGTACAACCAGATCTTAAAATTCTTCTTTTTTTTTTTCAGTTGGAGAAATACAGGGACATTTTCTGGAAGAGGATACAATGTAGATCCCTGACACTATGCTGATTCTCCCATGCAAAATACTGATAAAAAAAGGCATTTCTTTCTTAATTCTTGGGGAGGAAAAAATTAGTTATAGCTTTCCAGAAAATTTCTCTCTTAGGTAAGCACCCAACATGGACATTTTCGGCACAAGCCAGCAACCTTTGGCAAAGTTTGAAAGATGAAGGTAGAAGCTTAGCAGTGAGCTGGAAAACTTGGTCTGATAATGGGATGTGTCAGAAGGTCACAGCTGGCACCGCTCTCTCCTGCATCACTTCTGAAATACTTTGGGGTGCTGGACCCTAAATGAGCTGTGAAAATACTTCCCCAGCAATAATCAGCTTTCATAAAATTAAGGGCACGGAGGCTCAAAGGCAGGTGGGTCAAGAGATCCACCCGTCTGGAAGAAATCACAGCTGTCCTGGTGTCCTCCAAGCTACGTGGCTCCTACACTCAACTCCTCCTGTGTGGGAGCAGCAAACTTTCCTGGCGTGACAAGCTGCTCATCTCTTACAGGTTTTCTGGTTAGCGTTATAAATAACGACAAATCTTATGATCTGCCCCCTAAAAAAACCCCTCTTCTAAGTTATTTTCCAAGGCCCAACGCTTTTTCAAGTGATAACTTACAGCCTCCGAACATTGCAGCACTTGACAAACGGACACATCCAGAAGTTAAAGCGCTGTTACACTGTGCTCATAAATATTTACTTTCTCTAATGCAGCCTTTTCAATTTACATATCTCAGTGCTTAGACGGCTGAAAAATGACAGAACTGGGAAAACCCAGGAATTTTAAAATATATTTTATGAGCTCAGCAACAAGCTGGGCTGGGACCAGGCTCAACCAGAGACAAGCTGAGCCAAGCTGCAGTAAAGGTGGTCCCTTGTATCAAATCTGTCTTCATATGTAACCCCTCTAGGAAAAAGCCAGGCAGAAATAATTGTCACGGAGGTACTATTTGCAATGTCTGGTTCAGATCCCTGTCAGAAATAATTATTTCTCTCTGTCACGATCTGTCTCTGCTGTCTACCATTCCAGAGAAAGGGTCAGCACAGCCGTACCAAGGCACTGAGCAGCACAAGGGGCTGTTTTTCCAGGTGCCTGCTTGGAAAACCGGGTTCAAATGGTAATTTAGATCATCCGAAACGCATTTGTAGTTCATAAGTAGTGCTGAAGTAGCAACAAAGCAGGGCATTGGTGGGGGGAGTATAATGCAGTAGGACATTGGTGGGAGAAGAGGGGAAAAATAAGCTTTAAAATACTCCGAACGTACCAAAAGTAACAACAAATGAATAGTGCCCTTATTTCTATTTGATAATTGCTGTTTGGCCCAGATAAATTCATATGCTGTGTCTGGGGTCCTTGTGAAAGACTAAGGCTCTTAGAGTTTATCACAGCCTAACCAATGTCATCTGCTCTTTAAAAGTGGTCCAGCCACCCAGCTGGTCAGGCAGAAGAGCTGGTTCTTCAGGCTTACTAGGGATTTTCACAATCTAGCAATTATCACTGCCGTCTTCCCTTCACTCCTGGGTGTCGATCTTGGCTCGTGCTAGTAGCAATTATTCCACTCTTTGCATGAGACAATGTAGAAAATCTTGTTGCTGTGTGCTGGGTTCCACATTTCTTTTACAGCTACTCTTCACTCTGACAGCAGGCAAGGTGAGGAACAATCTTTTTTTTAAAATATATGATTCTCAGAAGGAATTTTGAGACAGACAGACATTTAGGGCCTGATTCAGGGGCCTTAACATAGGCATCTAGATGCTTTTGAGATGTTCTATGGTATCTAAAACCTCTGCAAGGGGATGACAGATCTGACATGGACCTCCTTGAGATCTCCACCTCTCTGAAGCTACAGCTCGAGGCCTGAAGAGACACTTCAGGGCATCTTAATTGGCACCAAATCTGTCTTTAGGCACCTGAATCAAATACTTAACGTGTATTATTTAGTCTTTTGAATGCATCCCCAGGTAGAGGACACTGCATTTATTTGCTGGAGCTCATGAGTTTCCTATCTGCCCACTTGTCAAAATCTCTTTCCCAGCCCTGCCATCCGCTTGTCACCTCCTCCCTGCTATGTGCTCACACCTTTTATATTTAACATTTCTCTACTGTGAACTGCGTATTATAAAATGCAGCTGCAGAAACTGCCAGCTAGGTTTTTTTTTATTGTATGTTCATCCAGTACAGGAATGAAAAATAGTTCATTTATGAACTGAAGTACAGTCAGGACTCTGCCATAAAATCAGATTGTCTTGTATACTCCTGCACCACAGACGCCATTAACCTTCAGCTGTCAATATTTGAGGAGGAATACAGTTTTACAGGTTCTAGCTGAATCATTTGGCACATCAGAAAAGTACTGCTCATCATGTATGGGATTCATCTTATTGAAACTTAGGAACCTAAAAGTTAGGAGTCTCCTCTGACCTACTCTTCTAGGTCTCTCCATGGCCAATGGGCAGAGATAGGTTCTTCAGAAGGTTGGTTTTGCCACGTAGTCTTATGAGTGGGATGCAATTCCAGTTTAAGGCATCTAAATCCAGATGTCGACATATAAGTGTGAGCATGTGAGGTAGACATGTAAGCATCAATTATAACCAATACTGTCAGTGGGAACTAGATACCTTCAAGATGGTCAGCATAATTGATTTGTAGGCTCCGCTGATGGTATTGATTGGATTTCTGTCAGCTTTAATGGGAGCATGAACATCTAGCACACTTCCTGATGACTGTGTGTGAACACCTTATTTAAATGCCATAATCTCAACATGAATCCCGCTTAGGTCTTAATTAGATTCCATAACTACAGGTGTCTAGTGAGATTTGGGATGTCCAAGTTATCTCTGACATTCACAAGGGGTTAGCAGATAGAATGCAGGATGCTGATAGGGGAATCTTTCTGGATCACCAGTTGGAGGCCGTGCAGGTTATCTGCAGGACATTTCAAATGGCACCAAACATCTACAATGAGGGTGGTGAAACAGGTTGCCCAGAGAGGTGGTAGATGCCCCATCCCTATAAACATTCAAGGTCAGGTTGGACGGGGCTCTGAGCAACCTGATCTAGTTGAAGATGCTCCCTGCAGGGGGGTTGGACTAGATGACCTTTAAAGGTCACTTCCAACCCATTCTATGATTCCGTGATCTATAGTCAAGAAACTGTATCAAACTCATTGCGTCTGATTACGTCCCTCGCTGCTTTAACAGTCGATAGACAGACACGCACTCTTATTGAAGAGGAGTTTTAGAATGTTTTAGTTCAATAGATATAATTAACACAATCTAACGAGTATCCTATCAAATAATGAGTGAGGTTATGATTACAGTTGTACTGTATCAGATACTTGCTTCTCTCCCAGGAAGCGCTGAACATTACCTTTCATTGTGTTTGTTGGTTTAGGAAAAAATAGATGTGAAAACTGAACCACGAATTTGCAATCTGATGGACTTTACAAGATATGGGACTTAATTAGTAATTATGCTGGGACAAACCTGGTGACTGTAATTGGAAATTAGTGTGAGAAAGGATCACAGGATTTGGTCCAGAGGGAAAGGTAAAGAGACCACTGGCTTTGTTTGTTGCTGGGTTCAGTACCTGGTGTATTAAAATTAGAAGATATAAAGTGACTTCTTTGCTCATTAATGCTACCGCAACCCCGATGGAGTCAAGCAGGAAGCACACAATTTGTCGCTACACTTGCTATTATTTATACCTTGGCAGACTACTATTTGTCACTAAAAGCAATACCCAGGACATGCCGAACACTGGCATTTAAAACTCAGGGAATAACATGCCCAAGAAAGGAAAGCGTGAATGCTGCTACATCCATATATCGCAACACAGGGAGTATTTTTAAGGAAGATGGATAATTCACTTGTTTGGACTATTCAGTTTAAAACCCAACTTTCCGTTCAGCAAAATACTTTGAATCCACAGCAGGTTGTTAAACTACTTTATCATCTGACTCACGCTTCCTTCAAAAAGGAAATCGGGGACGAGAAATTAAAAGTAATCCTCTCGCTTTGCTCATCTGTCCCAAATGTCATGAAATGCAATACCATCCAGGTGGTCCGCAGGCGGGCCATGTGCCAGCCGTCTGCTGGCTGACCGCACATCTCAGCAGCTTTGTAGAGAGAGGGGTTATGCCTTCAAACCCTGAGAAAGTTCACACCCCACTCTCCTCCACTGAGGTCCGTAATGCCCAGTGGGTAAAATTTGCTGCCGAACAGAAGGCAGGCATCAGTCAGAGTGTAAGTGGTCCATCACCCTCGCGCTGGGCATGTTGAATGCCAAAGGGCTGCCCAAAGGCTTGTGGTGGGTCACACAAGGGTCCCAGCTCACCTCCTGCGGATGAGAGGTGAAAGCAAAGCAGAGCCAACGTCGGTTTTTGCTGTCAGCCACAAGCGTTTTGCCTCCATCTCTCAGGGATAAGGGGAAAGAAACCTTCTGGCTAAGCGTGTGCTCGTGAGTGAGTGCTCCTGGCAAACATCTGAAAAATGGGGCAACAAACGGGGAATGCTGCTTTTTAGCTAAGCAGGGGAATAGAGAAAGACACAGAATAGATGCGTTCGTGTTGCTCAAAGCAGGAAAAAGAAGCACTGCGAGGAGATGGATTATTTTCTCCTCGTCTCAGGCGATTCGTACCTGGATTTCAGGAACGATAGGACCCTTCTCCGAGCAGGAACTTGCAAAAGCTGTCAGAGGAGATGGGGAGACCACAGGGTTGGGCCGAGCGAAGTTACTGAGGTCGCAGCTTGGGATCTCGTTCTCTTCGTGCCTCATGACTATGGTTTCCATCACAAAGAAGCGATCCCATGGCAGCCACAGCGTATGTTCCTGGGTGATGAAGGGAGCCCGCTCAAAGTGCAGGATAATGGAGATCCCACCAATGGTAACGAGATCGAAGCTGTTTTAAGAGATGAAATGCAAAGTTAGCGCAAGCACCACCCCGTCTGTAACAATTCACTAGCAAGGACCCCCCAAAAAATAATTGCAAGAAATATCATCAGCCACATTTTACAAGAATAAAACCTACAGTCCAAAGAGGCTTCAGTTGAGTAAGAGCAAGTGGCAGAGGCAGGAGTACAAACTCAGCTTCTTTGCATGTTGTCCTCATGTATATAAAGAACATACTCATCACTTTTTTCGAGACAAATGTTTATCTTTGTTAGTGTTTTTCTAGTGTTATTTGACCATACAAACTATTTTTTTTTTTTTTTCAGAAGTATTTATCATCCGAACGCAGTCACAGATTGGATCAATTCACATGATGACATAAACTATTTGGAAAGTGGTTTCTCCGACACACCACCACACAAATTGTCTTGGCATCACTGCTAACCTGACTAATACTTAATGCAACCCAGGCAACATGTGGAGTCCAGTCACGGACCTACTGCAGTGGGCAGAAATGAACACCATGCGGGCAGTCTCTGTACCACAGCACTCAGCACTCAGTCTTTTTTGACTCTTCATCATTTACAGCAGATAACTTACTGCCTGTGGTCTGCAACTTCGCCCTGTGCTACCTCCAGCCAAGTGGCTTTTCTGCCTGCATTAGTGTTGGGTAATATTATGTTGGGCTAACAGAACACTCCAGAGCTGTTTGAAAGGACGTTATCTCGATAAGGAAAATATTCCACCTGTTAATGTAAAGATGTTGGGATAAGGTTTTGGGGTTTTAATTAGTTTTGTATTTAAACTTCACATCTTGTCAGAGATGGAGATTTTATGAAGTACCACAGGATGTATCTACTATGTATAGACTCAAAAAAGAGGCATTAACTGAGAAAGGAAGGGATTTCGGCACAACTTGAAAACCTCTTGGTTTTGTTGCTTTGTTTTCTTCTCAGTATCTATTCAGTTGGAATGCCAAATGTGTGTTTCGGGCAAAGAAAATTTTCTCATCCCTGCTTCTCACTTTGGATGCTTGGCGCTAGTGTATGACAGTTTCACACGGAATTTAAACATGTGAATAGGCTCGCTGCCTTCTGCGGAGCTGCTCACATGCATAAGAGCCATGTGCTTAAGTACTTCTCTGCGCGCCCTGAGAACTAGGATCTGAAAGCTCTCTGACAGCCCAAAGCCAGCCTTGATGCACCTTGCAACTACAAGGTAAGAAAGCAGCTGAAAAAAGTATTTTAAATTATCTTTTAAATTAATTACGAGGCTTTCAGATCACCTGCAAAAATCCCAGAGGAGCAACAATGGGTATGAGCTATTTCTAAAAAAAAAATAAATCTTTGGCAAGTCATCATTCAGAAGACTTTTTTTTTTTTTTTATGGCTGGGGGGGGGGGGGGGGGGGAGGTGCCATTTAGCAAATATAATTATGAAAAGAAAGTTATTCAGGAAAGAATGTTAAATTGAGTCCATGGGAGGGAGTGGAAAGCATTGAAAAATGCTAAAGACATGTTTATTCTAGCACTCAAGTGGGGGCATCGGCTTCCCAGACCTATGGAGCTTGGCTTGCAACAGCCTGACGAGTAACTTGCTGGTCCTTGCCAGCAAAGCTGTGCAGCATTTGTACTTTGATGAGAACATTTTTAACAGTCAATTAGCATTTGGCAAGCCCTTCAGCTCGGAGGGAGAAGCTTGCTCTGCATGAATCCGGGCACTGAAAGGGGCAACGGGAGGAAAGAAACAAACATTACAAATGACGCTTAACAAGATTTTAGGCGAGTGGGAGAGAGGTTTTATTTGGAAACACCTCCGTATCGCTCCTTTGTGAACGGTCCTTGGCTTCATTGAGCCTGGGTCAGGGATGGTAACCTGCTGGAGAGAAACATCCTCGCCTCTCCTGCATCCCCAAAGCAGGATGCAGAAGGCAAAGCATCACCTCCACGTCAGGCTCCAGCAGCTCTGAAAACACACAGAGACAGGCAGTATTTTTTTAGCAGGCGCTGTTGCTCACAAAGTTCTTCCCAGAGTCACAGGCTGCAGCTTTGAAGTTACCTTGATGAATTGAACGAAAGCTAAAACCAAACAGAAAAACCCAAACTGAAAACACCTTTCTCCCAGCTTCCCTTAGTGAAATTAAATTTAACAAAAGCAAAACCATCTTGGGAATGAAGGAACGAGATAATTTTATTTCTGGTTTTGCTGCTGATCTCTGATGTCTTTTTTATCACTCCAAAAAATCATACTTGTTGTACAGTCATATTGTTCTGTTTTTCTTAAAGGGCTCTGGAGAGACAGGCCAAAGGATTAAATTCTCTATTTATCCACAAAACAGGCTTAAAAAAAACCCCCAAAAAACCATAACATAGAAAAATGTAACCCTTTCTCATTGCTTTGCTCTGGAAATCCACATATTTGGTCTTTCTGAGACAGCCATGCCAAAGCTGCTCAATGTGATGGCAAATATACGATACTGCAAAAGTCTGGAGACTTTCCTGCTGTTTTATTAACACTGTGCCTACAACAACGGGATACTGAGGACTTGGAGCCTTTACAAACTACCAGATTAATCAAACTTAAAGCTTTATTTTAAAATGGGGTTTATAATCCAGTACCAATACTTCAATTCACCTTCGAGTCACCAAAGACTTTACAGAGAAATCATGCGTACAATAGAGTAGTCTGAGATCTGTCATTTTATCTTCATGCCTTATTATCCGAAAAAAGTCTGTGTCCCAATAATTAGGCTAAAAACACATGGAAGCCTTGAAGTTATCAAAGTTTTGCTCAGACTAAAAGTAATGTGACTTAAATAGGACCAGGATTTCACTATTAGAGGCTGTATCTGAGTACTGGAATAGGAGTGGAACCTATTTGCGGAGACTTGGAATACAGTGAACCCACTTACAGGGGTGAAAAATTCAGTTCACTGTAATTCCAGAACTGAAATTGTACTTATGATACTCATTCTGAAACTCGGTCATGCCAAAAAAACCCCAAACCCAACCCAAAAACCCAAACCCGAAGCAACAAAATCAGCTTAGGAACCAATCTAGCTAAACTGATGCAATTCTGTCTTTAAACTCCCTTACTTTTAAAACACAGTTATTGCCCTGCTCTCAGTAAACTGATTTGCTAAATCAATTTAAGGCAACTCAGTGCACATTTTCAAGAACAGATATTCCTGTGGTGAATATGTCAAATAATAAAGCTGGTGAGTTCTATGCAGTTATCTCATAACCCCTGGAAGAAGGTAACTGCTTGCATGCGCGCTCCCATTTTTCCTCCAAACCAGGGTGACACCAGAGATGGTCCAGATGACCTCATATGACTGTGTACTGCTATGGACTGGGAACGCACGCAGTCTGCTACTGTAGTTCAGGAGAAACTACTTTTTGCTTAAGAGCATCCAGTTCTTAAAACATGAAAACTGCACTGGGGAAAAGCTGATGAGAAACGAGTCGTGCTCTATTCAGAAAATTACTGAAAACCATGAAAACACAGAACAGAAATTGTAATAGCACTAATTCTTTATGTGTTTTTGAAAGTGCTTTACACATAGTATTTAATAAATGCTGTAACAATCAGTGAGGAAGGCAAGTAAATATTATCTCCCTTTCACAGGTCAGTTGGCTGGCATAGGAACGTTAAGAGATGCACCTGATGGTACCCGCTAGATCAGCAGCGAAACTAGGATTAGAAATAAGGGATGTCTGGCATCATTTTATGTCCTGATCATTGTAGTCTGAATGCTCCTAAAGACTTCAAGGGAATTTTTAGAAGACCTCACCACTGAGGAAGTCGCTGGATTTTGGTGTTCTTTAAGAGAAAGGCTTTCACTTCTCCATTTATTACCTCCAGAGTGCACAGATGCACTGCTGTGCCCGTTCGTTTGAGAAAATATCTGCATGTATGCCTCTAGACAATTTTGGAAGGTATTTTTATGCTTCAAGAGACTCAGCACTGCAACGGGACAATTTACTGAATGTCACTTGTGCACCAGACTTGCAGGAGGTTTCTGCAGAAGCAGACTGCAGAAGCAGATTGATTTGAGGGGAAGGCGAAGAAAATGAAATCAGAAGAGCTGACACCACGCAGTCTGGGGTTACGCTGACCGCCAGCAGCTGCCGACAGAAATCCCAGCTTCAGGACGAATCCCACTTGGTCACAGATTCCCTTGTCTGATACAGCTGATTTCTGTCATTTTTATTATTTGGAGCGGAGTATCTGCCGGGGGGGCTGAGTCAGCAAACTGCAGCACTGAGCTCCTTGAAACTAATTTAATTTCTGGAGGCTGGCAGCCAGCCCTGAGGAACCAGCAGCCCACTGAAGATTGGTGGAGCATATTGATGCTCCAGCTGCATTGGATTCTGCCCTGGGTCCCCTGCTCAGCTGGAGGTTGGGCAGGACGTGGTGTGAAAGCAACATCCCTGGCTTGAACTGCCAGCAGAAGAAGGCTTATAGCAGAGAGGAGTTCCTTTTCACCACCCAGGAATTGGAAAGAAATAGTTACTCAAATATTGAAAAGGTCTGGAGCTCGGATAGCAACGCTCACCGCCGTGCTCTGGTCCTGTTTGGGTTACTGGTAACGTTTGCTGCCTAGAGGTGCAGTTTAAGACAAGGCCCCCTGTGTTAGGTACAGCACAATTGTAAAGCAAAGAGATGGTCCCTTCCTCGAAGGACTTGTAATCTAAATGAAAGATTACACACAGTAGTTTGGTATTGTATACAGGACAAGGAAACATGAAAGAAAGGGTTATAGCAGGCATTATTGCCCAGGAATTTTGCAGGTGTATTTATCTGTTCTAATAGACACAGATTTTGTGCTGGTCTATACCCAGCAATCTGATCTTGAGAGCGCAGTTCGGATCTCACTGTCAGGCAAAGTAGGTTCAGTAAGGCTGACAGAGATACTCATAGCATAAATGTGCAAGACTTCCCCCTTTTTGCAGTAGCCGAAGCTACGGGCATCCTTTTCCAAAGGAGACCACTAGTTTTCCCGGGATGCCTCTTTATTATCCAGATTTTATTGTCATGTTGTCCAAGAGGTAGAACATCACTCAGAGAGCCTCGTAGTCACCATCAGTGTTCGAGCAGGTGCAAACCCCCCTGAGCACGAACGAGGCAGCGTTAAGCACATGTTGCTAGCACATGTTCCTCTCTTTCATTATAATTCGATCAGCTTCTCTGGCCAAGTCAAACCTTTCATGAAAGTCGTGGATTGGAGAGGTGCTAAATCTACAAATCCTCTCCCAAGTGCTAGCGGTTAGTAGTCAATACATAGAGCATGTGCAGCTGGAACCTCTTATGTTTCATTTTTGTTCTTAAAAGAAAGGGAGCCAATTAGCACTAACAGACAAAAGATAAGATGAAAGAGTTTCCCAATTTGCAATGCTTTTGTTTTGGTTGAACATGACTGCTCAGATTTTAAGCACTTGCCTCTAACACAACCATAATCTTAATGACTTCTTCCTAATCATTCCAACGTGAATTAGCAAGACTAGAGCTGTTGGGAGCAAGAGACATCTTTCCTTCAGGTGCATGAGCAGTGCATTGCCCAACTGTTGGCTAAAGATTCCAGGTGATATCACAAAGTTAATAATAATAAATAATAAGAATAGAATAGAATAGAATAGTTCAGTTGG